AGAATCTGGCTGGGGGATTCTGGGAGTTGACATCCACACAGCTCAAAGTTGCCGAGGTTGAGAAACACTGCCTTAGCCGTGCCAACCTCTCCAAAATTATTCATTCATCAAAAGTCTGTTGAATCTGTGGTGGGAAAACATCAGACTTGATGGATCTGCTTTGTTCTTTAGCAGAGCCTAAAATCTGCCAACCAGAGCCAGATCCAAAAAAGACATGCCTGCATGCATAAATAAATAAATATTCTGAATCTAGGAATTTGCAGCATATCTATAGCATGTCCCCTAGAGATATACCAATAGATTCCCTATTTCCCACCCACCTCTGCCTGTGATCTTCTCTGCCCTTCTAAGAACTCTGACAGGAAATGCATGCAATGCACAGCTGCAAGAGGTGGAGAGGGCTAGTAGCTTGAGAAAGCTTTAAAATGAAATGGGGCATACAGTATAGATAGAAGAGGAAGCAGGGCCGTTCTCAGGGACAGGTGGTAAAAAAACTCAGGATGGCTGCTGCAAAGTCTAACGGCATTTGTGGGTGGTCAAAATCAGCAAGGCAGCAACAAAGCATCAAGATGCAAGCCCCGCCCCCTTTTGCATGTGCTCAGAAGGGGTGGGGTTTGCAATGCAACACTCCATCAGCCATCTTGCTAATTTTCACACCCTCCCGCCCCCGCAGATGCTGCTTTTTGCAGACAGTTTAAACAAGTGTGGGGCAGTTGTGACAGCAGACAAGATTACTCCTAGTCTCTTGGAATAATTACTATCTTCCCATATATATTTACTTTTAAAAAGCCACTAGTGTACTGCCTTGAAAACCAAGAACTCCTTATCCTAATCTTTGCCTACTCACCTGAATTTCTCACCCCCACCTTGTTGGAAAGACAAGTTTAATGAAGGTGAAGAGGGAGAGGCAGGAGGCCTTGAGATACCCCTGAAAGGAGCATTATTTATAAACAGGCTGCCTGATTAAGCTAACCATTTTAACTAATTATAAAGTAGAGTTACTGGGAATTAGCCAAGAAGATAAAGGTGTGTGCTTCTTTAAAAAACACACTTTGTTGCTCTCACATGCCCTTAGTGATGTCAGTGCAGTCAAATCAGACAGGCTATATAGTGTTGAGAAATTTCATCTATAATAGGATCCCTGATTGAGTGGGATCACTCATGCAAATAATCCAAGATGTGACAGAAGCTAAATGATATGATGTCACTGGTTACAAAAAGTTGAAGAAGAAATTGTGGGGTTCAGACACTGAGGAGCAAGATTTTGGGAACAGCTGTATTCAGTATTAGCAATAGAAGCTAGATGGCTCCTTGGTCTGATCAATAGGGGCTGGCTTGCATCTGTTTATATGGATAGTGCATCTTTCAACAGCTATTAATCGTGATATTTAATGGAGCCTCAATGCATAAGAGCAGTTCACCTCTCATGATTAAATGCTGAGGACTAGCAAGATTGTTGAACAGTGTTGGGCTTCAGGCTTTAGTGACCATGGTCTAGAGAGCAGATTTCCTGACGTTTCTCTGGCAACTGTGGCTGGCATCTTTGGCTTGTGCCTGATCCTGATTGGACCAACAAAGAACCAATCAGAGACCAGCCCTCACCAACCTGCACCAATCAGAAACCAACTCAGCTAAAAGCCAATCAGAAGTCAGGACACCTGGCTATAAAGATAGGAGGCCAGTCGGTCCCTACTCAAATGCTTGTGGTCTGTGTGGTGGACCATTTTGTCTCTGGAGATGCCAGTCACAGTTGCTGGTGAAAGGAAGTCAGTTCTCTAGATCACAGTCACTAAACCCTGAAGCCCAACAGATACTGGCTGTGAAAGCCTACACCAGTATGTTACTAGCAAGATCAATCTCTTCCCACCCTGCTGGTGGGCTTCCCATGAGGGTATCTGGCTGCCAACTGTCAGGTGCTTGTTTGATGGGCTTTTTACATTGGATCCAGTAGAGTTCTTCTGTAGTCTGATTCAAACTGGCTTGCCTTGTGTTCTTGGGTTGTGTTGCAATAGTTCAAGGGTCCAATTAAACAGAAATCTTTTTACTCTTTACAATTAGCATAATAGTTAGGTTATTTCCCAGGATGGAGTTAAAAGGGGCTGTTTTTTCTTTAATGGCCTCTGGAAATCCTTTGTGTCTCCAGCATCTGCCTTCTAATCCATGCACCCATCACCCCAATAAATCTTCTGAGACTCATAAGGGTAGGAAGACATAAGGGAAGAAATGGCATTAGGAAGACACAGAGGGGAGGGATAGGAAGAAAGGATGAAGCTTTCATTGACCAAACTGTAAACAGCTCTGTCTTGGGCCAAACCCTCGTTAATCTTGGAGTGAGACATTGGTTCCAAAATACTCCAGCCAAAAAAGGAGGGGGGAATCCATCTTACTTGGAGAAGTGTGGAGGGAACACTTCATGTGCAAACCCTAATTTGCAACAGAAATTAGGAAAACACAATCATATGCCCAACCTTCCCAAATGAATGAAACACTTACAGCACTGTGAGCCGGGGACTGGAAGTGGCTTCTCCTGCTTCTCCCAGAATGAAGGGGAGAGGAACAAAGCAAAATTAGGATCTGTCTGAGAAGAACCAACATCCCTTTTCTCAAAGCCCTCTGATTTAGGAGCCCCAAAGCAAGAGCTGAAACCAGCAGTAGATGGAAGAGGAAAAGAGTTAAATAAAATACACTTAATTTGGAAACAGAATTTATGACAATGAGAGCCAAGGGAACTGGTTCTATTTTAGACTTCACCGGGAACAGCTTGCTGGCTGGCTTTTAGCCATCAGAGATTCAGAATTGTTCTGATCTGTTGAGTGACAGTATTCCTCTGTATGCTAAAAGAAGGGGATTAACAGACAGAGGGAGCTGCTCTATTTGAGGCTTTCTAACACAGATATTTGGTTAGCAACAGGTGAAAACAGCACACAGGTTTAAATCAAGTGTAGGCAACTTTTGACATGCCCGATACTGCTAAACTACAACATCCAGCATGGGCAATGGTAAGGAATGCTGGGAGTTGTAGTTCTGCAACATCCCGTATGCCTCAAATTGTCTATCCCTGGTTTAGGTAATTTTGGGGATTGATCTAGCATGGGTTATCTTATGTTTTCAGACTCTTTTTCCTGATACCTACAAGAGTTTATTATGCATATTTGAAAAATTTCACCAACATCATAGAAACAAACTTAATGCGACTTTGTA